TGCTCCAGCCCTGTGGCTTCCCCAGAAGCCTTGGCTTAGAGTGGAGATGTTGCAGAACCTCAGCCCGCCGTCAGCCTGCAGGCAAAGTCCGCTAGACTTCTAGCACCCAGGTCCCGGGCAGAACCCAGGCCTTCAGGCTCCTTGGATGGGATCAAGAGGCCAGGCTGAGTGTCCTGGCTAGCAGGTCCCGTCCATTCCCACGCATCCCCCACCACGCTGTCTAAAGAATGTAATTTATTGGGGCGCCCCCCCAGCTGCTTTCTCTCCTAACTCTCTGCCCTACTTTAATCACACTCCCAGCTTTTCTTCTCTACAGAAACATATGTGTATATAATTATATATATATTTTTGCCTGGGGCTGGGTTTGGTACCTGCCCAGACTCTGGCATCCCTTTCCACTGTGTGTGTGTGTGATAATGCTGTGGGAGGGGGACTCTGCTTGGAATTAAAAGGTTGCACTGGGCCCCCAAATCTATTTGTTCTTTCTGAGTCACCAGATCTGGGAAGGAGGGAGAGGTGACACCAGGATGAGGAAATCCATGGGAGTGAGGGTTCAAATGGGGAGCACGTAGGGTCGGAAGAGGTGGGGACAGCACACACACTGCCCTCAAAAGCAGGAGCTAGCATAGCAGGGTCCCATCTGCCTCCTGTTCTGGGCTGTGTGATGGTGGTGTGGAGGAAGGGCAGAAAGTCACACTGTGGAGCCTGATATAGGAGCCAGCTGGGAGGAAAGCTTGTCTGTCCTCTGCTGAGGCCCTATATACTCACCTTGGCAGTCAAGCTCATCAACACCTGACGTGAATGCACCCTCTGGGGCCTAAGATACTCACTGTTCAATGGGGAGGCCAAACACACAGAGAAGTTCAATGGTGTAGGAGTAGGCGGGGAAAACCAATCAGTGGAGAAATGCTGGGTGAGATCTAGCGGAAGGCTGGTTAAGTGGAGGCTGAGGGAGGAGGTGGGTCACATGGTCTTGGTTGACCTAGCAAGGCCTCCGTTGGGGGGGGGGGGGGTAGACAGGGAACCAGAGTGTGGAGGTGGGTGGAGGGGGTGAAGGTTGGAAGATCAGAAGAACTTCAGGTGTGGGTGCTTGAAGGGAGGGGCTGGGCTCACCTGGCCAGAACAGAACCCAGATGTGGGTGCATAAAGAGGCGTGCAGTCAGAAGGACTAGGTGAGCTGGAGTGTGAACCTAAGAGCTGGAACCTGATTCCAGTCTGCTACCCCTGAGACGAGTTTCTATCCCCTTTGGCTGAAACAAAAGCAAAGGGGATAAGAATCCCTCCAATGCAGACAATTATTTTAAGCTGTAGAAGCTCTGATACGTCTACAACATGGTTTTATCCTTTCAACAACCTGCGAGGTAACAGCATAGATCATTTTAATCCTTTTAGGCAATGAGAAAATTGTAGAAGAGTTCAGCCGAAGCCTGAAGGTACATGTAAGTGAATGAGTGGAGAATGGAGACAGACATCCAAGTTTCATCACTGTTAACCCAGGACTCTCCCCAACGTAGTTCCCTCTCAAGGGGTAGCAAGGAGGGCCGACTAGGAGGCGTAGAGAGAATAGTCTCCAACGCCAGTACCCAGTTTTAGGTGTTCAACCAATGTTTGGAGGGCTTACCCTGTTCCAGCATTAGAGATTCAGCGGTGACAAGGCCAGCATCCTCAGGGCCACGGAACTCCCAGGGTGTTGAGCACCAAGGGATGCTGAGGCAGTGTTTGATCACAGTTCACTGGGAAATGCTTTTGGTGGGGCAGACTGCATGCTAACACCTAAAGGATTTTAAGTTCCTGAGATTTGGAGACCTGAAGTGGAGGTGGGTCCCTAAAACAAAACCTTAGAAGAATCTCTCAGTGCCTCTTCCTGCAACACACACACACACATGCACATGCACATGAACAGGCACATGCACATGAACAGATACAAAATCTTCATGATTACTTAGCAGTTTGCAAAATTTTTTCAAAAAGTGTATCTTGGGGGCACCTGGGTGGCTTAGTCAGTTAAGCCTCTGGCTTTGGCTCAGGTCATGGTATCACGGTTCGTGGGTTTGAGCTCTGCATCATGCTCTGCTGTCAGTGCAGAGCCTGCTTCGGATCCTCTTTTCCCCTCTCTCTCTGCACCTCCCCTGCTCACACTCTCTCAAAATTAAATAAAAACATTAAAAAAGTAAAAGTTACATCTTATTATTAGTAATTGGAATACATTTATAAATTGAATTTTATAGTTAATTATAAAAATGAGTGAGAACAAAGAAGCTCTGATGAATAAAAATTTTTGAGATTTGTATATGACAGTTGCCCTTTTTTGTTGCATTTGGCTGCATAGTATCAGGAAAATCCTGATTCATACAGATAAGTAGTTACAAAATTGTGGTGGTTTAAAAATGCACACAAATCCATTCTCATTCCTCCCATCGAGTGGCAGTGTCCATGCCCCCTCTTCTTGAATCAGGGCTTAAGTGACTTGCACATTTAAAACTATTCACCCTCCAATAGCCTTCCACCCTCATTTAAACTGACAGGAGGAAAGGCTTTATTCAAAGGTCTTCTCCCCAGTGAGCTAATCTGTCAGACTTTAACTACAGTTGACCCTTGAACAGCATGCAGGTTAGGGGTGCTGACTCCTCCGTGCAGTCGAAGATCCACATACAACTTCTTACTGCCCCCAAATCTAACTGCTAATAGCCTGTTGACCAGAAGGCTTACTAACATAAAACAGTTAATGAACACATGTTTTGTATGTTATATGCACTATATACTGTATCCTTAGAGTAAAGTAAGCTAGAGAAAAGAAAATATTAAGAAAATCACAAGGGAGAGGAGTACTTGGCTGTCTTGGTCAAAAGAGCATGCAACTCTTGATCTTGGGATTGTGAGTTTTAGCCCCACATTGGGTGCAGAGATTACAAACACATACACACACACACACACACACACACACACACACACACACACCAAAAAAATAAGGGCACCTGGGTGGTTCAGTCAGTTAAGTGTCCGACTTCGGCTTAGGTCATGATCTCACGGTTCCTGAGTTGGAGCCCCACATTGGGTTCTGTGCTGACAGCTCAGAGCCTGGAGCCTGCTTTGGATACTGTGTCTCCCTCTCTCTCTCTTCCTTTCCCCCACGTGTGCTCTCTCTCTCTCAAAAATAATAAACATTAAAACAAAAAACAAAAACACATAAAAAACCTTTTAAAATTTTTTTAAAAAGAAAAAATCTTAAGGATGAGAAATTACAGATAGAGTGTTGCACTGTATCTAAAAAAATGCATGTATAAGCAGACCTGTACGGTTCAAACCCATGTTATTCAAGGGTCAACTGTACATCAGTGGGCTCCAACACTTTTGGCATATAACACATGTTTCCGCTAACATTTATTAGAAGTTCTAAGACAAAATTTTTAAAGTGAAGCCAAATGAAAGGTTATGAATTCCTGATGCACTTTCACTATATCCCAGAGTTTCTTGGGGAAAGCTGATTTAATCCATTCAGCTGCTTCCCTTACCTATGAGGAAGCTGGCCCAGAAAAACACAGTGCAGGACTGGACTCAGGTCTCCACCTCTCCAGGTGGCCTCTCTGTACACAACAGGCTTGTTTCTTCCCTTTGTTCTTACACATTCTGGCCTGAAAGCTTCCTCTTCTTTCCCATAGGGCTCCTCACAGGGGCCCATTTGCAGATGGACTATTTTAAAAGGTCTCTTTTTCCCAAGCAGTTGTCAGAGAACTGAGATCCAAATGCCAGCTCTGGATGGGCTGGGCAGAACCCTGCCCCCCCCCCCCCCCCCCCCCCCCCCCCCCCCTCGTGACTTAGCCTGGACTCCAGGCTCCACTCCAGGGTACACAGCCATCTCTGGACAGGTCGTTGTCTCCTGGGCCTCAGCCTGACTGGTAAATGGAGCCCAAAAGGCAGGGCTAGTGCGGTGAAGCCCCAAGACCCCCTCCCCCCAGCTCTAGGTCCTACAGCTTTGTGATAGAGGCTACCCCTCACCCTCTCATCAGATGTCAGTGGTCAGCAGAAATACATTTTGAACAGATATCAGCCCTCTTCTCAGAAAGATCCTTCCATTTCTGAGGGTTGGAGGTGGAGGTGGTAGGGAAAATGGGCTTTAAACTGTCAAGAGTTGCTGCTCCAGACGTTCCAGGAAACCCTGCTCTTGTTGAGGGTTCTGCCTGTGTAATTCTTGGGCTCACCTTTCCCTGGTAGGGGGCGCCTCAACATGGGAGACCCATCTTCTGTTTCTTTCCTTGGTGCTGCTAGAAGGGCAACCGGGCCAGTTGTCGCTTCCTCTGCAGAACCTCTGCACCAGTGGTGTATACACTTAAAGGAACAAGCAACAAGGGAAATTAATTTTAATAATCTAGTCCGTTTAACCCAATATATCTAATATATTACGATTTCAACAGGTAATCAACATCAAACATCATCAGAGAGCTATTTTACATTTTCTTTGTGTACTAAGTCTTCAGAATCCGAGGTGTACTTGACCTTCGGCACATCTCAATCAGGCCTAGCGCGTTTGTTTCAGGGCTCCACAGCCTCATGCGGCCAGTGGCTACTGTGTTGGGCAGAGGGCGGGGGTAGGGGCATCTAGAGACTTACAGGATCCACAGACGTTCTCAAGCCTGTCTTCCTCGGGAGGAAGAAACCTCCCGGTCCCACTCGCCCTTCTCGCTGCCATCTGGCTCCCCAGGGAGCCCTGGCAGCACTTGAAGGCGCCCCTCCGCTGCGACGCCGGGCTTCAGCGTCCCCCCTGGCTCTCCACGGGCGAAATACGTCGGCGCCGGGCCGGGCCGGGCCAGGCCGGGCCGGGGCTGGGGCGGTGGGCAGCGGTTGCCCCGGCGGGCCGAGGCGGGGCGGGCCAGGCAGGGCCCCGCCTCCTCGCCGCGCCTCCCGGGCCGCGCTCCGCCTGTGAGCTCCGCCGCCGCTGCCGCTGCCGCCGCCGCCGCCCGCCGCCGCCCGGGAGCCGAGCCGAGCCGGGCCGGGCCGCCAACATGCTGAGCCGGCTCGGAGCGCTGCTG